CTACCTGCTTAGCTCCTCCTCCAGAGAAGCTGCTTCTCCCAGAGCCACATCACACTAGAAGCAGGCTTTGCTCAACTGACTGCCACTCCCTCAAGGGAAGGGAGCCCTACTGTTCATCTTGGCAACCCTGGCAGGTGCTGGCAAATTTTACTTTTTCCTGTAAGACACAGAGCCCAGGACCTTGAGGGGTATAATGGCCAGGGGCCAGATGCCTGGCAGGAGGAACATACTGACTTCTAACCGGGGAGACTCGGTCAAGGTCCAAATGAGCTTGAAGGAGAAAAAGAATGCCATAGGCTGCAGTTATACACAAGGGAAGCCTCCTGGTGTAAGATACACCTGAACTGCACCTAAAGGGAGTGTTAGGGCTATCTCTGTGTGTACAAAAGGGGCATGCTGGGCAAGAGCAGTGGCTCAAGAAAAGGTAAAGGGACAAAACTCTGCACACCATGTTGGACACCAGGTGGAGACCTCATTCAGCTGGAATGTGAGTGACTCCAGGAAGGGAGAAGAGGCAGAGAAGACTGGGGTTGCAGAAGGAATGACCACCTGTCCCCCCAGGGCTTCAAGTTCAGCAGAAAGACAGGGCTGGGAGCCATGAGCAGGCAGAATCAAATGAGCAGGCTCTGCCTAGGGCTTCGTGAGGGTGGGCAGCACTGCAGACTGGCCCTCTGAGAAGGGCCTCGAAACCAAATTATTCTACATTTAAAAAACATTTTTTTTTAAGTTTGTTTATTTTGAGGGAGAGGGTGTGCACATGCATGCTTGCGTGCAAGTGGGGGAGGGGCAGAGTGCGACAGCGAGAGACAGGGTTTGATCCTACGACAGTGAGATTGTGACCCGAGCCAGTATCACGAGTCGGACACTTAACTGACTGAGCCATCCAGGTACCCCTGGACTGTTTTTTTAATACAAAGTAAATGGAAGATGTTCCCTTGAAACAAACCAAGATGGTGGTGGGGCAATGCCATCAAAAATAGATGTCTACCATCTGTACCTGGAATGGGCTGGGAACATTTCCTTTCCCAGGGCTTTCCCCTGGTCTGACATGCTTGGTCAGGGGATGGTGGGCTGGCAGAAGTCACGCTGGAGCCACTGCAGGGCCTAAGGAACAGAGTGGTAGAGGGGCAGACTTCTCACTCTGGGCCAAGGTAACCAATGTTGACACATAAAAGGAAGTTTTCTGAACAATCTGCCTACCAACACCACTGCCCTGGGTTGCTTCCACACTAAGCAGACCCATGGTGGCTGCGGCTCCTAGCCAACCCAGGGCTGATGGAGGCCAGGAGAGGTAGAAGCCCCCCGTCTGCCCAAGGCCCATTTAGGCCCCCCGTGGACTACTCTCAGGAACAGAACAACAGTGTGCCCACAGGCATCGTTCCTCCTGGCTGGCCCCTGGATTCTGCAGTAACTGGCAGGACCTTCTCCTTTCTCAGGGCTCTGTGCACTGCCTGTACTCTCATCTGTGTGAACCCGTTCTGGAGGTAACTGCAATCTGCTCCCCAGGTGGGGTCCTCTGTCACAGGCAGGATACAAGCTTGAGAGACAACCACCCAGCCATCAATCTAAGCTCTGCTGCTTACAGGTTGCAAGTCTCTGTTTCTTCATCCCTAGAGTAGGCATAACAATTACCCACCCCCCCACCTTATAGAGTAGAGGTGAAGATGAATCCCGTTACAGAAGCTGGAGGGTCACGTAACCCCCATGCAATATACACACGTATGCAAGTACTGTTTCTGCATTTCAGCAAGAGAGACCCAAGACCACTGCAAGATGGTGTCTAGAGCCCTCCCTGAGAATCAGAAAGCATTTTCTGGTCTCATCCACATCCCCTTGACTTCAGAGGAAGGCCTAGTCCTTGTGAGTGATGCTTCAGAAGGACACATAACCAGATCACTCTGCCCTGAAGCAGAAAGTGGGTGAGTTGAGTGTATTTTTATGTCTTTGGGGGCTGGGAGGGGGGTGCATTGAAGAGACCCCAAGCCTGTTCCTGACTCTTCTAACAAGACCAGGAACTCCACTGGAGATACCCATACATGCGCCCCCACTGAGCCTCCAGGCCCCGTGACACATGGCCCCATCCTCCTTCCTCGAGACAGGTGTGCCAAGAAAACTCCCTGCCCCACTGGATGGCACCAAGTGGAACCATGAAGCAGAAGCCAGTGCAAAACAGTAAATAAACTGTGGTGTAATGGCCTGGCCAGACAACACTTGGGATTAGGGAAGGCAGGCTCCTGAGGGGGTGGCTACCTGGAGACAGGACCTAAAGCTGTAAGGCTGCCTCGGGTAGAGGATTCTAGTTCAAACAAAGCTGACTACTGTCCTGGGTAAGGACACTCCACTTCATCAGCCTCGACTTCCTCATCTGTAACATGGGGCAGACTGGCCTAGACTGCTTCTGTCACTGCTCTCAGTCTAGGCTTCTGAGCCGCACTACCATGGGGGAATCTACAAGCTCTGGCTGCCCGGGTTCAAATCCCAGCTCTGCTATTCCCATGAAATCCACGAGTCCCTTCACCTCATCAACTGTAACTCCTCGTCTATAACAAGGGAATGAAGAGAACACCCAATGAGGCCTATTTACTACTGTGTGGATTCAGTGAGGGTGTACCTGGCATGGAGTGAGGGATTAATAACTATTATCATTCTGTGAATTCTGTGGCCTCCTGCCACCACCATCCTTTCTATGGACTGAATGTTTGTGTCTCCCCCCAGCTCATGTTGCACGTAGTCCTAATCCCCAATGTGTTGGTATTTGGAGATGGTGCCCTCGGGAGACAGGGTTAGATGAGGTCATGAGGGTGGGGACCTTGTGATGGGACTGGTGACTTTATAAGAAGAGAAGAGAAAGAGATGGAAGAAAAGCCATGTGAGGGCACAGCAAGAAGGTGGCCATCTTCAACCCAAGAAGAGAGCCCTCCCAGATACCGACCCTGCTAGGACCTCGATCTTGGATTTCCCAGCCTCCAGAACTCTGAGAAATAAATTTCTGCTGTTTGAGCCACACAGTCTAAGGTACTTTGCTATGGGAGCCCAGCAGATTAAGACAACCCCGTGACCAGCCATCCCCGTCCCCTTCTCTCTGCATGGGGCGACCCACCAGGTACCCCCAAACCCAGGAAAATCAACATCATGCACACCCTGGAGACCTCATGCATGATCTCAAGCATACACAGGGTCAGGTGAAACTCAGCACACCAAGCAGCAGGTAGGGCACAGGCATTGCAACAGGACAGGACGGACAAGCAGAGAGGAGACAGGTGCGTGGGAGGCCATGTGCAGTCAGCGAGGGGCGGGGAGCTAGCACACGCCACGACCAAGCAGCCCATGCCAGTGGCGCTTGGCTCCTTACCTCCCCTGCAGGACCTCTGACCACCAGGACTGTGTTCCCCCAAGAAGCTGGAGGCGTGCTGGAAAGAGTAGAGAGCAGAAGACAGGGAGCAGTAGGTAGAGCCAGGTCTACAGGAAAAAGTGCTGGAAAGGGCCCCCGAGGAAGGGTGTTAGGTTTGGGGAGTCCATGGCAGAGTGGTTTTCAAGAGGCCCAAAAGACCCAAACACTAAATGAAAAACACCCCCAAGACCAGCCTATGCTGGGGCACAGAGAAAGGGACGAGAGAGCCAAGGAAGAAGACCCCCACATACTGGATTAACCTAGATGGCCACCTGTCCTCCTACATGCTGGTGTTGCATCTGTCCTGGGTGACAATCTCAGCAGACTTCCTGGGAGGTTGTGAATAGTCTCTCTAAAGGGAAAGGGACCCCGGGGTGGACAAATAGCTCTCAAGAAACCCAGGAGCCAGAGTCAAAGGAGGCCATGCTCTGCAAAGATGTCCCCTGGGATCCAAAGGAGACAGAGTGGAGTTTCCAATCCTGGTTCCACCACAAATCTCTGGGCAACTCTGGACGAGGTACATAGCCTCCCTGGGCCTCAGTTTCCCCATATACAAGATGGAGAGAATGTCCTTATCTACAACAGAGAAGAAGGTGACACTCTACCATCTCAAACATCCAATCTCCATATGGCCATAAGCATGTCTAGACTTTTCTCGGGGCTGGTTTGTGCTGGAATAAGGAGATGACCAAACATCTAAGATTCCTGACAACCATCTGGGCAGAGCGGGGTGGGGGTGTGGGTTCCTGGGACACCGCACTGCCACTGAGGGCCATCCCTCAGGCGCTGTGACTGTAGGGTTCATGGATCCAGGGAAGAAGAAGCCTGAAGCACAAAGTCTGGGCTCAGGCTTTTACTAACATGTAACCCCTTCAGGGTCAGTTCAATGGCACTAAACAGTGCCCCAGGTGAGCCATCATCCACAGCTCCATATCATGGAATTTCTCCATCACTGACCCTGTGTGCCTGGGTCCTCACCACAACACCCCTTACTCTGGGAACTGGTTCTGACCTGCCCGTCACTGATCTCTGGGCCACTCACAGGTGCCCAACAAATACCCAAGGAGGGACAGGCTGCTCTATACCACAGAGCATCTGATCTGTAGCCAATGTCAGTCCCCAGCACCAGCCTGAAGACGGGATGGCATTGTTTTTAAGCCTTTCTCAACATCATGACCCAGCTGATTCCTCTTGGTTATGGTAACCCTGTGAGGGCAGGTATTACAATTCTGTTTCACACATAAGTCAGCTGAGGCCAGGAAAGGTGAAGTGGTAATTTGCCCAAGGGTGTGCAGCTGGGTGGCTAGTTATTGACGGAGCCAAGGCGAGAACCTGAGGCTCCTCATATCTGGCCTGGTGGCCGCCGTCAGTCAGCATGCGCTGGTGTGGCTGGTTGCCGCTGGTGTCCACCTGGCTGGTTAGCGCCTGGGCACGACTAGGGGTCACGTATCTTGAACGCTGATCCTGCAGGCCAACTGTCAATATAGCATCTGCTCTCCTACAGCTACCAAATGCTCTTGGCACAGGGGGCCAGGGTGTAAGGAGCTGAACATGGTGGAGGGGAGCCATGGCTTGTGTCCTCTAGGGCCCCAGCTGCATCCACACCTACCTTTGATGACAAAGGCCTCTGCCAGCAGCCGCATCTGATACAGTGGCTTATTCTCCATGGACATGTCATCAATCCCAGCCCGTGCATACATACTGATAGCATCTCGGTATGAGCCCTCCACATAGTGCAGCTTGCCCTGGATCAGCATGGCCTCACACAGGTACTGTGGCTAAAAGGATAAAAAACACATTAGCAGGCTTCTGCCTCAAGGCCTCCCCACCCCATCCCCACCCCCACCAGGTACCCTGGGATGGACCCCCGCCCCATCCCACTGAGCCATGACGACTTGCCTAAGACCCTCCTCAGAACTCCCCTCTTCCTCCAGGAAGCCCCCCTAGTCCTCAGTACATGTGACGGCCCTCTTCTCTCCACACCTGCAGTCTGTGGGCTACACTATGGCTCTCACTGAAATCCTTACATGAGTGCCCAATTATTTCATGTGTGTGTGTCCTAATGCCCCCAACCAGACCCCAGGCAGCTTGCAGACTGGGCTCTGTCTTCTGTCTCCTGAAGCCCCAGAGGCTTCGGCCCAAGGTTGGCGCTCAGGAATTCAGGCATTTGTTCTCAACACAAGTAGGGAGTCAAGGACCCAACCAAATTTTGTGGGGCCTAAAGCTCACATAACTGGGGGGTCCTCTTTACATGCATATCTGTACAAATATACAGTGAGGGGAAAGGCCTTGGAAAGAAGCTGTGCAGGTAAGGGGCCAGCCACTGAAGCCCCACCTGCAACAGCAGGACCTCTGTGGTAAGAAGGGTCCTGTCAGCAGTGGGACAGGAAGGCAGGAGAGCCAAGGCCTGCTGGGCCACCGTCCTCATCTCAAGTGCAGAATCAAGTGCCTGAATTCAAGCCAGTTGGTTTCTTCCTTTTCTTTTTCCAGTACTGTTAATGCCCAAACCTTCATACAAGGACTCTTGGGGCCTCCCTCAGGAGGTCTGCTCAGCCCTGCCCCAAAGTCCTGTTCTTGGACATGTGCCCAGCTCCCCTCCAAGATCTCCCACTTTCCATGGCCATTTGCTCTAGCCCTCGGCCTCCATCTCTGTGCTCAGCTGGCCCCACCACCCCTTTGGGTCAGGCTCTGGACACTGCCCCTACCACCCAGCAGCAGCTCTGTCCATAAAGCTCCTTGGAAATGCAGTGCTGGCTCCTACCTCGGGCCTCTGTGCTACCCCTGCTTCCCTTCAGGGAGATTGGAGTCTGGGGAACCTGTAGCCCCAGGGAAAGCCTGCACCACTCCCCACCACCTACTGCCCTCTCAGAAGCCAGTTAAGAGATACAGAGCACAACAAAGCCAAATTCTTCTTCTGCACTGGTGTTTTGGTCATTATAAACACACATTTTCCCCTAGCCTGTGCTCACACAGCTCCCTATCTGGAACAGTCTCCCCCCACTTCCCCCTTGGTCTATCTGGATCTTCTTCCATCCTTTGGGAACTTGCTCCTGACCCACCTCTTCCTAAGAAGGCTCCCTGAGTACCAGAGGGCTCTGTCTGCTGAACTGCTAGAATGCCTCCACCAAGTGGACCCACTCAGCCCCTGTATGCCTGACCTGCTCCGACTATCGGTCAACTCTCCGAGGCTGAATTTTTCAAGTGCATTTGCTAGTCACCCAAACAGGCCACCCACTCCTTATGCTAGGGCCACAAATGACACACTCCCAGAGCCTCGGGACCCATGGTCCCTCCTAGCTGGGCAAAGATACTGCTGTTCCCCATGTTAGTTTCGAGCCACGGGCACATTTTCTCATTGCTCAGGCTAATTTAATTTACACCATTGGTGAGGGCGAGATAACAATTAACAACCATCCTCACCTCCCATCACAGCAATGCCAACAGCATCAGAGCAATGCGAGTCCAGAAAAGAGTTCTGAACTTTTCTTTGGAAAGGAGCTAGATAAATACAGGGCATGAGTCATCATTTTTCTTTTAATTTTTATTTATTTATTTATTTATTTATTTATTTATTTATTTATTTATTTAAAGAGAAAGAGTGCGAGAGGGGGAGGGGCAGAGGAAAAGAGAATCTTAAAATAAATTTTTTTAAATGTTTATTTTTGAAAGAGAGAGAGAGAGAGACAGACAGACTGCAAGCAGGGGAGGGGCAGAGAGAGAGAGAGAGGGAGACACAGAATCTGAAGCAGGGTCTAGGCCCTGAGCTGTCAGCATAGAGCCTGACGTGGGGCTCAAACCCACCAACTGTGAGATCATGACCTGAGCTAAAGTCAGATGCTCAACTGACTGAGCCACCCAGGTGCCCCAGAAGAGAGAGAATCTTAAGCAGGCTCCATGCCTGCTCAAGCCCGATGCAGGGCTCGATCCCCCATCTCTGGGATCATGACCTGAGCCGAAATCAAGAGTCAGACACTTAGCTGACTAAGCCACCGGGCACCCCACATACTACTTTTAATATTTCATTTTGCCTAATCAACATCAAGTTCTTGGCTTTGGTGTGGATAATGGTGAATATCTCAGTGTTATTGGTGACTATGGATGTCTTCAGTTAATAGAGCATGGTAAAATTTGTTCTTCCTAAATGTGATTTGGCATACAAACAGTTTTCATAATAATATACATGGATGGCTATTCAGCCAATGCAGAGAATGAAATATTGGCATGGGGAAAGCTCCAGGTAAAAGTTCTTATCAAATATGGATGCAAGGACTCTGATTAGAACCTATATGTGTGCACATGTGTTTGTTAATGCACAGAGAAAGGCATGTGGGACATAACACCAAATGATGACCAGCGCTTAACTCGGGATGGGAGTGGGGGTGGGGCTGGCAAACAAAAACTTTTACTTCAAACTACTTGTTTATTTAATGACTTTTTACCAGTGAGTCCGAGTCATTTTTTACTTTAAAAACAATTTTTAAATATTTAACGGAGTCTGGCAAAGGAAACTATTAAAAGGGGTCTTGATGGGAAAAGCCTAGGACCCACCAATCAAGTGCAGCCTCTTTGATTGGCAGATGAGGAACCGGAGGGCCCAAGAGGTCAGAAGACATGCTCTAGGTCAAACAGTTGGTTTAGTCCAACACAAAACCTCCCAGAGCTACCATAATCCCTGCTCAGGAATCTAAAGACAAGATCGTTAGACTTCCAGGACACTTCCCCCACATAAAAAGTCCCACACTTATTGGCCTAGTTTTTCAGTCTCCGCTCACTGGCCCCAAAGTCCCTCTGTCACCTCATTTCTCACCATTCCCTTTTGCTCCTGCTAAGTGACATATTTGAATGAGAATCTAATAAGAGAAACCATTAAATTATACACTGCTTCCTTCTTGGAATGTCCTATCCTATCTCTATATGTCAATACCCTCCCCTCTTCAAGGTCTAGACCCTCCCACCCCCCACGAAGAGTCCAATTCTAATGCCACCATCACCCCGGGCTGACTCCCCACCTCACCCCAGGGAGTATCCCCCTTGAACTTGCCTCCTCATGTACACTAGTCATGTAGCATGTGTCACAGTCCATCTAGGACAATTTGCCAATAAGACTTATTTTCCTGGGGGCACCTGGGGAGCTCAGTTGGTTAAGGGTCTGACTTTGGCTTAGGTCATGATCTCACAGTTTGTGAGCTCGAGGCCCGCCTAGGGCTCTCTGCTGTCAGCGCATAGTCTGCTTCGGATACTCTGATCACCTCTCTCTCTCTCTGCCTCTCCCCCCCTCACTCTCTCTCTCGAAAATAAATAAACATAAAAAAAAAAAAAACATATTTTTCCCAGTAAACCTGCAACCTCCCTGAGGGCAGGGTCCATATTGAATCAGTACATCTTTATTGCCCTCATAGTATAATGCCTTGCATAGAGTCGGTTACCATAAAATGTTTAAGTCAGAAAGTATATTACTTTGGAATATCTCTTGAAAAATCACGTCCTCTTTGGGTCTCTAATGACATACCCATACTTCTATTATAGCTCAGGATACACTGTAATCTAGAATGGTCTCAAACTTTAATGCACACATGAATCACCAGGAGAGCTTGTTGAAACAAAGATTCTGTTCCAGATTTTGCACTCCCCAGATAATGCCCATACTGCAGGTGGGTGGACCATGCTTTAAGCAGCAAAGGTCTGGAGAGAGCTGACTATACTTCCCTCTATACCTCCCCTCAGTGCCTTTTATACAGTAGGTATTCAATCAATAAATGCATAGACTTAAACTGGCTTGCCTTGTTACTGAGTTCTTCTGTCGCTAGCCAACTTCGCATGTTTGCCTGTTTCCAACTAGATCATGGCCTCACTGAGGTCCTATTTCCTTGAGATTCCTAAGGAGTCCAAAGGACTAGGCACATACTAGGTCAAGCAAGTGTTGTCTAATAGAAATATAACTTAAGCCACAGGTATAATTTGAATTTTTCAAGTAAAATTTTCCAGTCACATTAAAAATGTAAAAATAGGTGATATTAATTTTATTAAAAAAATTTTTTTTTAATGTTTATTTAGTTTTGAGAGACAGAGATACAGTGTGAGTGGGGGAGAGGCAGAGAGAGGGAGACACAGAATCTGAAGCAGGCCCCAGGCTCCGAGCTGTTAGCTGTTAGCACAGAACCCGACATGGGGCTCGAACTCACATATCGTGAGATCATGACCTGAGCTGAAGTTGGACACCTAACCGACTAAGCCACCCAGGCACCGCGTGACATTAATTTTAACAATATATTTTATTTAACCCAATTTATCCAAAATATTACCGTCTGAACATGTAAACCATATAAAGAATTAATGATCTTTTACATTCTTCATTTTGTGCTAAGTCTTCAAATTCCAGTATATGTTTTACACTTGGATAGCACAGCTCAGTTTGGACTCAGCTTTATTTTGAGAGACATAGAAAGAGAGTGTGAGCAGGGAGGGCCAGAGAGAGAAGGAGACACAAAATCTAAAGCAGGCTGGAGGCTCCAAGCTGTCAGCCCAGAGCCCAGTGCGAGGCTCAAACCCACGAACTTTGAGATCATGACTTGAGCCAAAGTTGGACACTCAACTGACTGAGCCACCCAGGCATCTCTGGACTAGCTCCATTTCAAGTGCTCAAGAACCACATGTGGCTAGTGGCTATTGTACTGAACACTACAAAGCCAACCTTTAAGGGAGACTTGCTGCTCAGGTGACCCAGGGAGAGGGCTTGATGGCAGATAGGAGGCAGGAGATAGAGGAGAGGAAGCCCCGGGCACAGGGGGTTGACCACTTACAGACAGCCTCCCGTGGTTAAGGATACTACTCAGGTAGTTTCTGGCTTCATTCATCTTTGGCTCATTCTTCTCTGGCAAAGGGATGGAGTCTTTTATCTTTGTGTGGTTCTCCTTCAAACACTGCTCCAGGAGGGCCTCGGCCAGGAGCAGCTTCCCAAAGTCATCTGAAAAACAGAGCAGTGATCCCCTGAAACTGGTACCTGTCCCTGTACCCACCCAGCCACCCTTAACCCAGCACATGAATGGCCCAGGTCTGAGAAAAGAAATAAAGACACAGTTTTCATAAAGTTAAACAGCCTTTAAAGAAAAAACACAGGCATTCTATCATAGGCACAGTACAAATTGCCCCTTTGGATTTGTTTTCTGTAGTTTAGTGGTTGGGGAGGCAAAGTTCCCAAGATTTGGGACAAATTCCCAGAATTTCAGAATTTAAGATGAGGGACAAAGTCACATCCATGTCCCATTGTAGGTAATCAGTTCTTAAACCAAGAAGGAATTACCCCCAAATAACAAGAGGAAAAATATATGATGTGGCTTAATGCATTTTCATGAGCTCCTATTTCCATGTAACCAGAAAACCATGGTTTTCTCCATTTTTAAGGTATTTTAACATAACCAGGGATAACTTAGCAACAAAAGCAAAGAGTTACAGCAGAAAGCAGATGTACTGGTATAGCAGGGCAAATCCATGGACGTGTTTAGCCCTGGCACTTTCTGGAGTTCTCTCACATATGTTAACCTATCTCTAGACCTCACCACCTGGCAGGGGAATTCATACTGTTTGGTTAAATTTTCCATCTCCCCATAAAGTACTGAAAACTCCAGGCTTGTGACCGTCTTGCTACCACAGAGAGGTGACCCAGGGAATGGGTGGGATCCCAGTGCTCACTGTGCAGGCCTAGAGGTTGAGTGTGGTTTCATGATAGCCTCAGGGGCTGTGCTCAGTGTGGCTGGTTCACTGCCCCTCTCCTGCAACCAGGGTAAGGACCAGGCCCACCACTCAACACAGGCACCCAATAAATAGCTGCTGAGTGAACTGGATCCTCTCCACTACTGGATGAGGAAGCCATGAGGCTCAGAGAGTTATGTGCCAACCCAAAATGCCTCCAGGAAGGTCTGCTTGGTCCTGAGACTTCACAGAGCTTTCTACTGCCAGGATGGCATTTTTAGACCCACTCAGGAATGCCACTCACTCCTTACTCTCAGGACCACTGCAGTTTGCTTACAACTCAAAGCCACAGACCCAAAATTGCTGGCCTCTGAAGAGCTCCCCCCCCCCCAAAGGAGATTTCCCTCAGAGAACACCCTGAAAGCCCAGATCCCAGGGCACAGTCTTACAAGGGTTTTCCTCTAAGGATGCCAGAGCCTGTTAGTGATCCTTTGCTATCCACCTCATGATTTCAAAAATTAACATTTAGAAGAACTGGCCGAAAAAGTACCTAGTTCAAACTCTGATCCATCACTGATGGAGCAGAAGTTGGTGGGACCTCTATAAAGGGCAATTTGATGACATAGATCAAAATTATTTTTGTGCAACCCACTGATTCCACAATCCCTAGATCAAAATTATTTTTGTGCAACCCACTGATTCCACAATCCCACACCTACAGAGGTCTTGGCACGTGTGTAAAATGACCTATAAGGTGATTCCTGCCGTGTTATTTATAATAGCAGAAAATTAGAGACAACTTTTATGTCCGCCAACATGGGGCTGGTTAAATAAAGCATGGTACTTCCATAAAAGGGGACACCACACTGCCATGAAAAGGAGCAAGGAAGCTCGTTTGTGCTGTGAAAGAATGAACTCCATGATAAATCAGTAAGATAGTGGAGTGCGCACAGTGGACAGAAACGTGTGTTCATGTATGAAAACGTGACAGGATACATATCTGATGGCCTTTCTGACTTATAGGGAAGGTGGCAGAGATGGAGGAAGGCTTTTCATTCTTTACTTTTTGGTCCCTTTGGAAGGCTGAGCCATGTGAATATATTATCTAGTCAAAAATAAAATTTAAATCGTCAGAGAAAGATAAATATCATATGATTTCAGTCATATGTGAAATTTAAGAAACAACAGATGAACATAGGGAAGGGAAGGAAAAATAAGATGAAAACAGGCAAACCATAAGAGCCTCTTAAATACAGAGAACAAACTGAGTGTTGCTGGAGGGGAAGGGAAGGGAAGGGGAGGTCGGTTAAATGGGTATGGGCAATAAGGAGGGTACTTGTTGGGATGAGCACAGGGTGTTAAATGTAAGTGATAAATCACTAAATTCTACTCCTGAAACCATTATTACACTATATGCTAATAACTTGGATTTAAGTAAAATTTTTAAAAAATTAAAAAAAAGACTAAATGTATCAATATTGATTCATTAATTGCGACAAATCTACCATACTAACTTATAATAATAAGGAAAAGGGGTCTGGGTTATTAGGAATTTTCTATACGATTTTCACAATTTTTCTATAAATCCAAAACTCTTTTAAAATTCAAACAGTTTTCTTAAAAATTCAATTCAATTCAATTAAAATAAAATTTAAATCAACTCAATGGGGTGCCTGGGTGGCTCAGTCAGTTGAGCGTCTAACTTTGGCTCAGGTCATGATCTCACGGTTCATGGGTTCGAGCCCTGCATCTGGCTCTGTGCTGACAGCTCAGAGCCTGGAGCCTGCTTTGGATTCTTTGTCTCCCTCTCTCTCTGCCCCTCCCCCCCGCTTGTGCTCTGTCTCTCCCTGTCTCTCAAACAAAAACAAAAACAAAAACAAAAACAAAAACAAAAACAACCACGTTAAAATTTAAATCAATTCAAGAATGAAAGGCAATCTTCTTCAGATTCCCAATGCCAGCTAGGAGGAGGGGCAGGCTATGGAGTGGTGGATGCCTGAACTATGGGCCACTGGGCAAGTTGCTCCCCCCCTCCAACCTGTTTTGCACCTGTTAAACCAGAGGTAGGTTTAGGAACCTGCTCCTTCTGAAGGAACTGAGTCCCTCCTGGGCTGGTCCCCGGCTCTCTGCAGTCCAGGGTGCACATGCAGCTTCCCATGGTACTCATCGGCTCTGTTGTTCCTCTCCTGCCCAGAGATACCAGCTTCCTTCCCAGCAACTCTTAATCCGGAAATACTCCCCAGGGCACAACACCTCCCCTCAAAGTAATGGCAGTGTCCTCTGGACACTTTGCTACTCAAAGTGAGGTCCGGGGCTGGGTGGATCTGTGTTTGTCACTCAGTCCTGCAGAGATGAGTTCAGTTTAGAGTACACATTCAGAAACGTTGACAATAATGTGACAAAATAATTTTGAATCTGTTGAAGTAAAAAATGGGAGGTAGCAGTTTGGGTATCTTATGAAAGAATCAGAGCACAACAAAATGGGAATGAAAAAACAAAACAAAACCCAAAACATGAGAGTAATCCTTCACCTCGGATTGCTTGAGAAGCACTGCTCTGAAGCACTTCTCACTGCTTGAGAAGCACTGTTGAGGGCCTACTGAGTGCCAAGTATTTTATTATACGGTAGCATTTAATCTGCACAGCTCTAAAAGGTAGATACTACTCCCATTTTATAGATGATAATAAAGATACGCAATATTGCCATGGTCCCAGCCCACAATAATAATACAACATAACATTACACAACGCAGCCATTGAACAGCCTGTCTCTCCTGCACCCCCGGTACAGCACAGCTTCTGGTAGTTTAGAAATAAGAACAGTCTAAGAGTTATAAAAAGTAGGTTCAAAGGTAGTAGGAATTCTTAGTAGGAATTCCAATAGCAATTCCAAGGGCAGGGATAAGGACTGTTCTCATCCTCATATACCTATGAGTTTTAGACTGTTCTTCTTCTTTTTTTTTTTTTTTAATTAAAAAAAAAACTATTCATTTATTTTTGAGAGAGAGAGGAGGGGCAGAGAGAGGGGGACAGAGGATCTGAAGCAGGCTCCAGGCTCTGAGCTGAGAGCAGTGAGCCCGATGCGGGGCTCAAACTCACAAACCAGGAGATCATGGCTTGAGCCGAAGTTGGACACTCAACCGACTAAACCACCCAGGTGTCCCCAGACTGGTCTGTAAACTAACACTTAAGGTCCTTCTCCAGCCTTTTTGCTCCACTTCATCCCCACCCAAGGTCTGTGCTTTCTTTAGTAGACACAGTAGGGGTTGGGAACCAAACTTTCTTTTCTCGCTTGCCCACATCTCTTCCCTCTCTACTCTGCCTTCCTTCCCCTTCTCCTGTCCATCCCATCATTCCCAACTGGCCAATCTATGGGACTGAAAGATATTTTAGAATTAAAAGTTCTAGATTTTCAGTTGTTAAATAAGAATACAAATGGATTAGAGGCTTTCCTGTCCTTCCTTCTCCGGAGTTAAAACATGCCTTTTTATCATCTTCTTGTCTGAAACCCACTCCCTATCATGATTTGGGTAAAGTATTTCAGCTTCTGCCCTCCCAGAGGCATTAGGAACACCTTCCTGACAGTGACACAGATTCTGGCAGCCCAGCCCAGCACAGCCCCCTGCCCTGGGCACAGGCCCAGAGGAGGCCCCCACTTAATGGCCCCTCAGATTCCCCAGCAACCTGGTTTTGAAGCCTCTGGCAGCTAGCTTCCCATCTACTCCCACCCTTCTCCAGGCCTCTTTCAGGGCACTAGGCGACAGGGACCCACTTCAAAGATACCTGCCCCTTCCCCTAGAAACCACATTTGCAGGGCGGTGCCTCTTCTCCACAGCCTGCCAGTCTGTAGACAGGAAACCTGGGTCCAGCCAGGCGGGCCCTTCCCCACTAAGGCAAATGGGGACACAGTGGTCTCTGCAGCTGTTCACACAGGACCACAGAGGGCTGGGAACTTCTAACCACAGCGAGATGAGGAAGAGGCCAAAACTAGTGAGAGGCCACCTGCCTCAAACACACCTCCTCTAACTCCAACTGAAGAAATTCTCAGAACAATTTCCAGTTCAGGAGAAAAAAAAAAAAAAAAGATGGGGGTGACTACAGATTATGAGACTCTAGATGGATGGATAGATAGAGGGGCAGTCGTGATAAAGTAAGTACAGCTTAAGAATATTAGAATCTAGGTGGTGGGTATACAGGTGTTCACCGAAAAGTTCTTTTAATTGTGCTGTACGTTTGAAAGTTTCATAATAAAATACTGAGGGGAAAAAAGAGACACTCACGCTGTTAAACAAATAAAATGTGTAGCTTTATTTGGATCCTGATTCTAGCAAATGAACTGTAAAACTAAATCATGAGATTTGGGGGGGGGGGTTGTGATAATGGTATGGTGGTTTTGCCTTTTCAAAAGAGCTTTTATTTGGCAAAAAAGAAAGGAATATACAATTGATTACATTAAAATAGAAAGCTGCAAAAAAACAACCAAAAAAAATGAAATTTCAACTTATTATCTAAACCATCATCCTACCTCACACCAAATCATCCTGTCAATGACATTCTAAGAGACTTACTGAAATCCTAATTTGTCTTTAGAATTCCTTTTGTGTAGCAGACCTCTAATCTTAATCAGGAAAAATTATTTTTTTTTTAGGATCCCACACTGGCTCCTGACAGTCACCACTTCTTCTTCTTCCTTTTTTTAAATTAAATTTTTAAAATGTTTACCTATTTTTGAGAGAGAGACAGAGCATGAGCTGGGGGCAGAGAAAGAGGGAGACAGAATCCGAAGTAGGCTTCAGGCTCTGAACTGTCAGCACAGAGCCCCCACGCGGGGCTCGAACTTGTGAACCCCAAGATCATGGCCTGAGCTGAAGTCAGATGCTCAACCAACTGAGCCACTCAGGCAGCCCTCCACTTCTTTATGTATGTGCTTATACACCACCGTAAATAAATCTCTTCGCAATTAAAAGAAACAAGAGTTCTTAATAAGTACCTAGTACAATATTCAATGTGGGGAAGAAATAGGTTGGGGTGTAGCTCAAACAAGACAGTTCATGAGTTCATAATCACTGACGCTGGTTAATGGATACATGGGATCCATTCTTTAGCTTTTTTGATGTTTTGGAATTTTTTCATAATATTCTTTTCCTTTTCTTTAATCACTTGGATGGGTTCTTTGTTTTTACATGAACAAACTCCACCACAGCCAGCCACACTCTGGGGTTCCCCTGCTCCATCCTGACCAAATCTAAACCGGATGTGAGTCTGAAAGAAAATGTACAAACAGTGGCAACCACCTTCCCCCTGGGTGGGTGGTGGGGAGCAGCCTCCCCTGATAGGAGAGGGTAGGGCCCCCTCTGCCTGAGATTCTCCTCATCCTTCACTCCCACCAGACTCCAAAGAGGCCCCCACAGCCAGTCCCCCTCTCCTACCCCCTGGACTGAAGTAGATGCTTTGGGAGCAGTTTTTAGTTTCTGTAGGAAACCTTGCAGAGACAGCAGGGCTCAGGGCCTCAGTCTTTAAAATGGGGTTCAACTGGGGTCTGGCTTCCCCCTCAATACATTCCCTCCCTCTCCCCAAAATATGTAACTGTTGAAGATTCTGGTCACTGACTATACAAGTGTAACAGGCCAAGTGGGACATTAAGAATCTCTCTCCCGGGTTGGAGGGGGTCAGTGCCTATACCACTCCAAACAAACAGGCCCTCAGTCCCTTGAATGATGAAGAAACCCTGCAGAGAGGGAACCAAAATAGCAGACAATCCAAAAAATGCTCTACACTTGGGTTTTAGGACTCATTTGTTTTCCCAGTGTGCATCTGTGTGTGTGCCAGCCTGTGTGTTGGGCCAGTGTATCCAGATCTAACAGGGGGATAGAAATCACTCACAGAACCAAACCCAAAAATTGGCAGGAGAGACCCCAATGCCTCGCTCAGACTCCCTCCTTTTGTGACAGGTAGTCCCCATGGTGAAGCCAAGCCATGCCCCTTGTGCCCTGCCCCCACCTTCACTAGTAGTAGACTTGATGGCAGGAATGTAGACTTTCATACAGGCTCTGCCACATAAACATTACGTGACCTCTCTGGGCCTTGGTGTCCCTATTTGTACAATGGAGACAATAACTCGTGCTCTGCCCATAGGGTTGTTTATAAGGATTTTTAAAAAAAATAGGGAAAGCACTTTATAACCATACTATACCATTTATAAATTATGCCATACCAGTGTTTCCCAATAATGCCTCATAGAATATGGTCAAGGCAAGTTTGAGAAATATGCTGTTTATAATCCAGCCTTGTCTTATACATCATGGGCAGGTGTGCATATTAAAGGCTCTGAAAAGTCCTGCAGTGAAAAAAAAAATCTGTTTAACAATATTGAATCTATTAGGTCCGATTTCTTTACTTTTTGTGCTCCCTAAACTTGTTCCTCTTGGAATACCAATTAACTAATTACATAACCTCCTTGAGACCTCCGAAGAGCAGTTTAAGAAACTGAACTCAAGGGGCACCTGGGTGGTTCAGTCCGTTAAGCGTCAGACTTCAGCTCAGGTCATGATCTCACGGTTCGTGGGTTCAAGCCTCACGTTAGGCTCTGTGCTAACAGCTCAGAGCCTGGAGCCTGCTTTGGGTTCTCCGTCTCCCTCACTGTTGTCTGTCCCTCCCCCACTTGGGCTCTGTCTCTCTGCCTCTCAAAAATGAATAAATGTTCAAAAAAATTTTTTAAATAATTGGACTCGAGGACGTCGGGTTCCTGTCTTGGCCCAGCATGTTTCTCTGTGGGGCCAATCTTACGCAGATTCCCATAACTCACCCAGGCCCCAATGCCCTCCATGTGGGTCCACTTCCACTCCCACCCTTGGAAGCCCTACCCCACCACATCACTCCATGCAGGGGACAGAAGAAAACCTTCAATTTCTCTATTTTGGCCTGGAAGACCAGGGCCCACCAACTTCTCCCATACATGCACCTATTGTTCTGGTCACTCCCCTCAACCCCTGTGCCCAGATCCATCTCAAAGCCTCAACCCGACTGTCTGTCCATGTCCCCTGGCCCCCTCAGTGGCCTTCTATCCTTCCTCCTCGATGGGCAAACACACTCTGCCCTTCCCAATACCAGTCGGAGGCCAGCACACATTCTGCGGCTCCTCCAAAACTCCTTTTCCTCTGAGCTCCGCCATCCACTGCACGATCGCCCTCTGGTCACTTCTCTGCCTCCTCATCCATTTTGGCAACTCCTCAGGCTGGAGGAGTTGTGCTGCATCTCATTTAGAGGTAACAGTGCCAGAGGTTAAAAGGATATACTCAGA